ACCTCTTCCAAAGGAATTCCTAATTCAGCTTTCAAACGCCTCTGTGCTGCTCGCCTTACACCAATGGCACCATTTTCTTCCAGCTCCCTTGGATTACTTAACGGATGACTACAACAAGTGTTGGTAAAACAACCTGGAAAATGTTAATACAGGTATAAATTAACTTTTCTTCAAGGTAGGTCTGAAAGATCAAGACAAAGATTTATGAATTAACAGGTAAATAAGTTAAAAGATCTTTTAGGGTTTTAAAATCAGTTATAATGGGCTATCAGCAATTGTTTTGTAAAATGGACATCTGTAGGTAAGATTTTTATTAATGCCTCCTTAACTGAAAAGATCAAAATGTGTAGAAGACTCAAAGTTTTAGAAAACATATGTACAGGGCTGGGGATATACCTCATTTGGTAGAGTGCCTGCACAAGGCCCTGGGTTCAATCCTCAGCACCACAAAAACAAAACGAAACATTATATACATACATACACACACACACACACACACACACACACACACACACACACACACCTATCCCTTGATTACATATTCTTTATTGCTGTTTAATTAGGCTGCACACATTCTGTAAGTTTATTTTATGTAAATATTAAATTATGTCATTCCCAGGATTTTCCTTTTTGACATCGCTCCAGGAAGTTTGGTGATAAAGAATAAAATATAGAGTTCCCAAAAATCTACATTGTACATTAAGTGTACTAACCTGGAAAGGTAATTTTAGCATCTGATCTCTGCTGTATCAGAAGCTTATTTTCACTATTAAATAAGAACAAACTAAAAGCACGATGTAATAATCCTGAAAGCAAAAGAAATACTGTTAGTCAAAAAATACCAATTATTTGCCCAATTATCTCCTTGCAATTCAGAATACTACTAGCAACTTGCTACCATTTTTGCTTTTTTTCCCATAATCTTCTACCTTTGAATAATCTTTGTGCTATGATGGAGAAGAGTTCTGGCATATCAGCAAGGAAGTTAGCTGCCAAGTGAAAGAAATAGTGATCTTGGCAGCTTTGCTACAGGCCAAATGTTTTTTCAGAGAGATTCAGCTTAGGCCATTAGTCTGTACCTCTTTACAATACCTGCCTCTCTCTATTCATTAGAAAGAAAGGTTTAAAGGCTCCACAGGTATAAATTAGTCTATTCCCAGTTTTACATGAAACCAGTATAGGCATAGTAAAAGATATGAAGTGGAAATAGCTATTAACCAAGGAAGGCAGAAAGGCAGATTTTTATTACATCATATAACTGGAATCAAACATAAGATACAGGATTAAGGGCTGGGGATGTGGCTCAAGCGGTAGCGCGCTCGCCTGCCATGCGTGCGGCCCGGGTTCGATCCTCAGCACCACATACAAACAAAGATATTGTGTC